ATATATATATTTCTTTTTTTAATTTTAATTATGGAACTTAAAACATTGAAAAATAAATGTTAAACGAATTATTATCTCTCTCAAACGTTAAATTGTTTCATCAAAACGCATTTAAGTCAAATTTTCTTACGCTTATGTGGATTAATTTTCGAAGTACCTAACCCTAAGGGTTATCTGCTTCTCCATCTAAAATAATTCGAAATTATAAAACCGGAAAAAGGAAGGAGAAATTGGACGCAAATTTAAGCTGAGAATCAAATTGTTCGACTGGCTGTTTAAAAAAAAAAAAAAAAAAAAAAAAAAAAAAAAAGAGTATGGGACAAAGAGGTGGAAAACNTGCAATAGGGAAAGAGAAGGGGGTGGATTGACAGCAATGACATATGGAACTTAAACCTTCTTTACCTCTGATTTTTCTTGAAGAACTTTCTGCTAACAAAATGTATATACGTTATATTAGTTTTTGTTTGTCTAACTTACTGCAGTGTAAGACTTCTTGTAATGACATTGGTTACTAGATCCAATAAAATCAACACTTCGAATTTAATATTTATGCTGAAACTTGATGATCATCTAGCATTCAATGGATATATTTAGAAAAATAAAAATACCAATGAAATAACATCGGCGATTAATGTTTCATAATCATTTGAAATAATTATATGCGCCAATGAAAACATAAAGTCTTCATAATGTTGCGAATTTGTATCATTTTGTGAGGATTCTTTGTTTATGTGGCCAAATATCTCAATGGATCCTAAGTAATAAGTCTAAGAAGAAAAATTGCGTATTTATAAAGTAATTTAGAGAGGAAATAACGCCAAATGTATCTCCTTTAAGGGAATGTTCCGCTGCTAAGTAACACTCTTACAGACTTGGTGGCTAATTTGGCGATTCAACGAAGCTTGGCGAACATTTTGGCAACAAAATGATACATCTGGAAATTTTAGTTTCAAAGCAATATTTACGCTGTTATATACAAGAACATCTAGAATGGTGTCGAAAATTCTAAGATTTTAGTGCACACGTGTTCTAGTGTTCTCACCCGACTTAACTCTAACTGATCCATCAGAAATTTTGAATGCTGTGTTTTGCTGTATTACGCTTTAATTTGAGCTGTAATTGAGTGCTAATAAAATTTTGAAATCTTAAGGACTGTTTTATTCATTTCCAATCCAAACGAATCCCCGTGCTTGGTAAAATAGGGTGCTTTCTAAATATACATAAATTAATAATCATTCAAAAAATTTGAAAATATTTTTATTACATATTATAACAACAGGAAACACAACAATAGACGATTGAAAGAACATATACATTTATATACAGAGGCGATAGGTTTTTGTCAAGAGTACTACAGGTAATAACAATAAACAATGAGAAGTCACATTTAATACAGTTATCAAGGTATGGATGTTCTTTTAAACTTCTCCTTAATTACAGTGACTATAAATCCTTATTATCATTTAAATATAAACAATAAAGCTCTTTCAAAATAACTTCAAAGCAAAACTAAATTTTTAAGTTTTAATTTATTTAATGTCTTCTAAACTTCTTCATACCGTTGACAAACTTATCACACTTTCAGAAAATCTTAGTGATAATCATGATCAAAATCTAGGGTGTTCCTTAATCACTATCCTTAGAGTAAAATTTTAGAATTCTTGTAATAATAGGAGTCAAAAAATTATACACTTCGTGGTAGAAAAAATGGGGAAAAACAAAAAAACTATCGAATTTTAAGAAATAAGAACAGTCGAAGACTGCCTGAATACATTCAAGACCTGTTTGATTGCCTGTTGAAACTTGGAGCTAATCGCCTTTCAAATCCTCATCGTATCATACAGCTACCAATTTTTGTTGTTTTAGCCCCGCCTCCCTCAGTAATAATTCGCTAGATTTCAATAGTGTTTTTGTTCTTTCCTCGGTCAAATAATTACATTGAGGGGGAAAAATTTCCGCTGCATCAGATGNTTCTAAATATACATAAATTAATAATCATTCAAAAAATTTGAAAATATTTTTATTACATATTATAACAACAGGAAACACAACAATAGACGATTGAAAGAACATATACATTTATATACAGAGGCGATAGGTTTTTGTCAAGAGTACTACAGGTAATAACAATAAACAATGAGAAGTCACATTTAATACAGTTATCAAGGTATGGATGTTTTTTTAAACTTCTCCTTAATTACAATGACTATAAATCCTTATTTTCGTTTAAATATAAACAATAAAGCTCTTTCAAAGTAACTTCGAAGTAAAAGTAAATTTTTAAAGTTTTAATTTATTTAATGGCTTCTAAACTTCTTCATGCCATTGATAAATTTATCACACTTTCAGAAAATCTTAGTGATAATCATGGTCAAAATATAGGGTGTTCCTTAATCACTATCCTTAGTGTAAAATTTTAGAATCCTTGTAGTAATTGAAGTCAAAAAATTATACACTTTGTGGTAGAAAAGCTAGGAAAAAACAAAAAAACTATCGAATTTTAAGAAATCAGAACAGACAGACGAAGACTGCCTGAATGCATTCAAGACCTGTTTGATTGCCTGCTGAAACTTGGAGCTAATCGCTTTTCAAATCCTCATTGCATCATACAGCAACCAATTCTTGTTGGTTTCGCCCCGCCTCCCTCAGTAGTTACTTGCTAGATTTCAATAGTGTTTTTGTTCTTTCCTCGGCCAAATAATTACATTCAGGAAAAAAAATGTTCCGTTGCATCAAATGTTTTAATTGATCTTGCGCAATTTCGCAATGTTTATTTCAAATCTGTTCCTTTCCCTATTGGTTTCTTTCCACAAACTAACAGCGTTTATGCAATTTAATATAGTCCTAACCAGAAAATTTTCAAAATTCACTTGAGTGACTACTAAGTTTTCAAACTTCTCTGCCACGTAAGGAATGGCGGGTATAAGGCAATAATGCAATTCAATTTATGTTACGATAAGTTAAGTTCACTCACAAATCTCTCTCTTTCTGTCTCTCTCTCTCTCTCTATATATATATATATAGTCTTTTCAAAGGAGCAGACCAGTGCATATATATGTATAGAAAGTTCTTTAGGGATTAATTAATCAAATCATTCAATCAAAAAATAAACTAAATTAAAAGTACTATTTAAAAAAAAAATCTGTAGCATCTGGACAAAGCTGATTCCAGATTTGAAATCTCCACACCCGAATTAGGTGAGATCAAATGCTTATGTAGTTTGCCTATTGGAATAACTGCCTCGCCACAAAGTCTAAGGCCGCCTGTTGCTATGGAAACAAGAAACAACGCATTACAAAGATGATTCTCTTTCTCTCACCGATCAAAACTCTTTCAAATTCTGACTCAACTTTAAATAGTTAAACCTCGTGACCATAGTCATCGTTCTTTACACAGACTGACCATATAAATGCAGCGAATTTATTTCCCCAGTGTTATCTATCAACCATATTGAGCATACTTTTGACTTCTTTTTCGCAAAGGAATTTAAATATATGTAATAAGGACTGTCATTACGCAACACCCAGAATACAAGTCAAGCATTTTAATGATATCTTACATCCACGCTTTAAGGATGTAACCCATAAATTCATAAACAATCATAAAATATTGTAACTTGTATATATACATATGTATATATTTATTTTATTCACATACTTTATAAACGTCATTTTAAACAATCTATAACACATCTAGACACTCAAAAGATAACATAAATATTCAAGCTTGTTTATAATAATAAGTTTCATATTTTGCTGTCAAGGAAAAAGACATGCAAAACGTTTTATTTTTTTTTTTACATTATATACAATAAATCGCTAGATTATCTCTAAAATATTTTAAGGAATATGAGCTTTATGTATTTTCTCTAGATATGTTTAATTTTATTTCTAGTTACGCTTAATTTAAATGGTGGACAATAATTTTCTGAAAAGCACCATCGTTTTTTGAAAGGCAAGGTAAGGTTACAACTACCTGAAATATATTATATATTCACTTATGGAATTGGAAAATGTTTCATAACAAATTAACAACGCTCTAAATATGCTTTTCAGTACGCAGTGTCTTAAACATTTTGAAAAATAGATAGGTTATGAGACAGTAAAACTGAAATAAAAATGTGTTTAATAAGAACTGTTTTATAAGACTGGACCATAGATAGGCCTGCTAACTGCAACGCTTTTTGCAAAATATTTTATAGAGTGGTAGACCTTTCAAAACCGAAACTCTCAAAGTTTTTGGTAATTTTGCAAACATTTTATGCTTCACCAGCGGAGATTTGGAGTAAAGGGGCGCTGCATATGAACTTTTAAATAATTTATATGTGGTGTTGTAGAAAATAAGTTTGAATAAATAGTAAATATTACATTAAAACATAAACATAGCTACCACTAGAATAAATTTTTACAAAAAGCGCAAAGATTCTGCAGCCCTGCATAGAGTACAAAACATGACCATATTTCGTTTATATTTTATACACCACAAAAAATTTTTATGCATATAATCTGTTTTGTAATGATTGCCCATAAGTTTTCGAATCTTAATCAAAAATAATTTTAAAAAAGCATACAAATAAACAGACGTAAATTAAAATTTAAGCAATTTTAGCACTTATGAATTTGGAATAGTTATCAACATATTTGGCATAAATTGGGAATAGTTATTAACATATTTGGTTAGCAATTTTAGATATTTTGTTTTGCCATTGTTCAAACAACCGTTTTCTGATATAGAAAAAATTAAAATATGTTGTTGCTTTTACTTAAGCATAGGGTATTTCTGAATTATTTCAATTGTAAATAACTTAATAAAAAAATAATTTTGTCATATTGTATCAGATTCTCGCAAGTCCAATTAAATAAAATAATTATTTATCTTTTGCCGTTAAAGTAATTACATTTGGCAAGTTAGTAAATTGGCAACATATGACTTCACTTTACAAGTAGACATCTTTTGTAACTAATGGCACTAAACCACACTTACCCTGAAAATGTAGGGATCACAGGTGAATGAATTTTCAGCAATCATTCATTAAATATTATTCGAAAATAATTAAAACTTCGGTATATTGTTGTTGTAAAATAGATGTATTAATTTCCTATTTGTATTTATGACGAAACTGGCAACTTTTGTACGATTCTACTTGAGCGGTAACCGATTCAAAACAAATTCTGAAGCAGAGCAAGTTTTGTAAGCGCGAGAAAAAATTGATTTTTCTCGAGATTATAATTTCTCGCATAGCACAACCTTAATATATAACTTTTTATAAAAAAAAATTGAATTTCAAATATTCCATTTTGTTCAGGAGCTACATCATACATTGCTGATTTATTCGCTGATTTATTGAGTATCCTGATATACCAATTTCAATATTAAATTTCAAGTATCCTAATTTACCAATTTAAATATTAAATTTCAGGTATCCAGACTTATTCCGTATCCTGATTTACCAATTTAAATAGTATTAAATTTCAGGTATCCAGACTTATTCCGAATTCTGATTTACCAATTTAAATTTCAGGTATCCTGATTTACCAATTTAAATATTAAATTTCAAACATCCTGATTTATCCCATTTTACTTAGAAAATATACCATTCATTTCCAATTTATTCTATATCCTGATTAACATAGTTAAACAGCGAATTTCGAATATACCGATTTATTTCATTTCACTTAGGAGCTATATCACGCATTGCTAATTTATTCCATATCCTGATTTACAAATTAAAATACTGAACTTCAAGCATCCTGATTTATTCCATTTTGTTTAGAAAACATAACATTTATTTCTAATTTATTCCATATCCTGATTTACACACTCAAACATTGAATTTATCATATCTCGATTTATTCCATTTTTAACTGAGTCTCTGGTTAAACCACTGTATCCAAATCGAAACAAGCGAAAATTATTCAGTTCAAAGTGAAATGATTGAAAATGAAATAATAAACAATTAATATGTAATGAACTTCCTCTACAATAATTGTCGATTCAAATAATCAACTGTTATGTGCCACTGACTCTTTCATGTTCACACTAAACATAATTATATCAGAATACCATTAAACATATTCAGTGGTAAATTAATATGATAGAATAAACATCCAATGATAAAATAAACATCTTTGTTTATTAAGTAACCAATAGTGAATGAATATGTTTCATATCAGTAAACATATTCAATGGTAAATTAACATGTTTCATAACATTAAACAAGTTCGATGTTAAGTGAGTACATTCCATATCGTTAAGTATTTCCAATGATAGAATATATATCTTTTAGTGTTATTAAGCATCTAATGGTAAATGAATATGTTTTATATCATTGAATGTATTCAATAGTAAATTAACATGTTTCATACATTAAACAAGTTAAATGAGTACATTCCATATCAATAAGTATTTCCAATGATAGAATATATATCTTTTAGTGTTATTAAGCATCCAATGGTAAATGAGTATGTTTTATATCATTGCACATATTCTATGATAATATAAAAGTAACATATCACTAAACGTATCAAATGATAAATGAATGTGATTTATATCATTAAAATAAAAGAATAACATTCCTCTGAATAAAATTAATACATATGCTTTATGCCAGAGCTATGCATTCTCATTTAGGATTTAAATGTGACTTTGAAATCGAGAAAAACGTTAGTTACGCGATCTGACTACAAGTTTACAGCAAAAGTTGGCAACATATAATGATTTGCGCTTAAATAAATCTGACAGCATGCCGTGCTATGCGAGAAATTATGTCAAGTTTGTTCAAGGAGTTATGCACGTTGCAGTTATTTTGTTCATGTATGAAGTAATCGTTCATCATTAACCCTGTTATGTTCAGAAAACAGTTGCCTTAATTCTCGTATGTGTATAAGCTCATTCTTAATTTTACGATAAATGAAAGTTGTGCATTGGTAAACGTTTTTAAATAGTCCAAACCTGAACTTTTTCCGCAACGACGCACCAATTCGCATGATCGTAATAAGAAGAAATAATATGCAAATTGTCGACATGAGTTTCAATCAAATTATCCAATTCGCCTTCTCGGAAGACATGGTAGTACCTATGATATGCCATCAGACCTCCCGTCTCGTTCTCTGGCAGACTTTCCTGCGAAGTGGACTGAGACAGAGAAGAGTTTCTGGAAAGTTCGTTTTTGCTGCTGGATAGGACCTCTTCCACGGATTTTTGCCTTGGCTTCATCCTTGGTGAGCATGGAGCCGATTGCGTGGATTGAATGTCTTCCTCCACCGAACTCTGACGAAGACGATCCAGGCACACACTTTGCGATGAGCGGTTGAGTATCTTAAGTTTCTCTGGTATTTTCTTTTCTGATGAGTTAGAATTTGGAATGGAACATTTTGTGTCCTGGTCTTCACCCGTTTTGTTCTCCTTGTCATCCGAGTTCGTGACGGTTTCAGGTGGCAATTCAACGTAAGCTTGCCCCAAACAGTTTAAGTTGGATTTAGGATTATTTGATTCTTTGTTCTCCAAGTCACAGGCACTTCCATTGCAAGATTTTTGACCAGAACATCTAAATACAAACAACAATATTAGGTTACAGTAATAAATGTAAGAAACATTTTTTTTAAATTACAGTTTTAACAAGATTTTTTTTATATTTAAGGCAGCTACTATATTTACTGATACACCTGAAAAAAATTTATAATTTTTATTTAAATTTTATTATTATCTAATTTTTATTCGACTTTTTTATTTTCATTAACGTTGAAAATAAGTCTATATTTATTTCAGAAGGGTGTTTGAAGTTTAGTTGAATAATAAAGTTCTCAATATACTGTATTGTCATTAAATTGAACTAAATATGTATCTCATTTCGATATTTAAATTAAAATAGACAATCTGTAATCGTTGAAATATTCAAATTAAAGTATCGCTTGCATTTCAGTTAGATGGATTTAAATAATTTTATGTGTACAGTATACATTTCATTATAAAATGTCAAATTAATTAAAATATATATTAAATATGAAAAACTTTGATTACACTAATCTCCAATATTTAATGTTAGTTGCTCCAATCAGGGAGGTCGTTTTCTCCAGGATTAGATTCAATCGTTAAAGGGGTATGGAAAGAAGGTAAGAGTGGTTAATATGTTTTTTTATTTATTTTCTTTTCCCAAAAAGATTTATTTGTGAAAAGGAAATAAAAATTATTAAAAATGTATATAATGACCTATCTTTCAAGCATATGAATTACGGGATTATTAAACAGAAGTAGGATGAGATTCACGATACGAGATGAAATAGAATTTCTTCTTACAAAAAATGCAATTCTGCAATCAGCATTTTCAGTGATATGATAATATTAAGTGTCAACATGATTTCAGATTTTAAAAAATGTATTTATTTTACACAGTTCACATTAAAAATGATTTTCAACACTAGAAAGACTGAAACTTAGCCCAAAACATTCGAAATGACTGGATTGTTAAAGAATAACTAATGTTTAAAGAAATTTGTTTAAAATTAATTTTAATATTTTTTTTATATTATTTACAGTTATATAACAAGTTATTAGTAAATACTAATAAAACAAAAAAAAATTATATGTTGTACAAAAAGTCACAAAATTCTAGGAAATTGTGTCATTATATACATTGTTATTTAAATTGAAATTGAAAAGCAGTCAAAACGACTTCCTTGGACAATCTAGTGTTAAGCATCTTAATCCATTTTCTTTGGGTAAAATAAAAATAAACTTCACAAAACTAGAAACAGGAGATCACAAAGTATTAAATTATTACATATCCAAAACTTTTAACTGCACAGTTTTATCGCTTTGAATTTTTGAGGGGAAAAAAAATCATATGTAGCATATGATTTTTTTTGAGGGGAAAAAATCATATGTAACATATGATTGATATGAAGGATAAGGATTATGATACAATCTCCAAATCCAATAATATGAAACTTTTAATTTTATTCTTTTTTCAAAGATATTTCGCTCTAAAAAATATTTTTAAAAAATGATAAAGGCTAAAATACTATGGGAAAAAAGAATCCAAAATTTAAACTAAAATTCTAGATAACGAAGTAAGAACTCTTGTAATATCATTTTTTATACTACTGGAATAACTTTTGAAATTTGATAAAATAGTAATTCCTAAACAGTGGATTCCTCTGCAACATTTCTTCTTGAAAGTAATTTGAATGTGGAATATATAAGACAGGTCATTATTTCAAACGAAACAGGCAAAACTGAATTCATGCATACAAGTAAAATCTTCCTATGAGTGTGTTCAATGGTATAACTGAATGCACAATACGTTAATTGGTAATCAAAAATATATTTTCAGTTCATAAAATCATACGAATCACGTTACACAATGACATCATTATTTCATATTCAGGTCAGGTGTTCTGGTTTATTGCCAATTACAATGATTTTCCAAAATTATCCTTTAATAGTTTTATCGACGGCAGAATTAAAGGCATTGAACACTTAAAAAACACTTAAGTTTACTATTAATTGAGCTAGTTTGCAAATTGGATAATCCAATTTCACGGGATACTGTTTGTCTCGACAAATTTTTTTTTTAAATTCGATTGAATTCTCAAAATTAAAACACATTCTTGTGGATCGAGTTGCAGGTTTGCTACAGGAGACTAAAAATGTTAGAAGCGCTCACTAATAAAATTCTAGATTTTATGAAAACGAATTAAAATTAGGAAATCTTTAAGAAAGTACATTTTTTTTCCAGTTTACTATTGAAAGTATTTGTTAACTATGTTTCTGTTTTAAACACGCATAATTTGAAATGTAAGTCATATTGGTAGTTACGATTGAATAATTAAAAAGATAACAAATAAAAAAAAAAGTGACTTGAATTTCTACCACTTTTTACANCTTACCACCACGTTTTACCACTTTTAATTTAGGTTTCCATTTTTCAATAACTTCAGCTTTCTTGAAGTGAGTTTGAATAAAATTGGTAACCATTTGTCACTTTTAAAAAACGTATAAAAGTTATAAAATACATAATTCCTTTTGAAGTTTGTAGCATTTAAGGAATTTATTTTATAAATAAAGAAAAATAAAAGCCAGTAAGTTCCTAATAGGTCATGTTAAATATATTTACTACCAAAAAAATGGCATTTTTACAAACTAAATGAGTTTTTTTTATATCAATGACTGTTCTTAAAACAATTTCAATTCCATAAATACTTTAATTTACCCTTACTAGAAATAAAGGGCCCATTAAAGGGTTAAAGATGAATGAGAAAAGAGCAGCAAGCGGCTTTAGGAGCTCAGATATTTCACACAGTACATTATTTTTTTTTTCGTTCTCAAATGTTTAAGCAATTTAAAACGTTGAAACGCTATAATGTCGCTACCCACTAGGAAATTTTTTTCTCAACAGCCGCACAAGTTGGCAGCTACGCATCTATAATCACCTAAAGTTGTTGCAGCTCCTTTGCAGTCTATTTGTATATCTTATTTAAAGTAAAGCATTTTCGAAACAGCCTGTTGTGGGCATGACCAACGCCACGATGGTAGCAATGTTTTCAACATAGCACACTTTCCGGAAGAGCAAGTTCCCATCAATCTAACTGGGTGGATATCAAGCCGCCACACGGTATCGAACTCCAGTTTTTAACAATAACAATTCAATGCTTAAACCACTGAGCCATCGCAGCTTCAGTTGTTATACTGGTTGGAGTTGGTTGTTATGCTTGCTGTATCGAAATTGTATGGGAAATAATGAAAGAAAAATGTTTTTTTTTTTTTTTTAAAGAAGGAAAAAAAAAAAACGTTATAATATTTAAACACAAATTGTACAAAAGGTGTTTAAATTTTATACTCCTACATTTTTCACTCATGATCTAAAATTATTAAATTAAGGTATTTAAAATCTGTACCAGTTATATTTTTAAAATTTAATTTATATAATTTTTTCGTAACTATACAGCTCGTTCTAAATTTCTAAAAATATTTTGCTTTCAATACATAGCAACCAATTTTCAGCAGTGGTAGCTATAATATTATTAAATTGTAACTCTCGCAAATTATGTACTTTTTTACAGTCTATTTATTACGTTTCGTAATGATTTCTACCACATTAAATGTTTTGCTCATTATTTTAAAGTAATTCTTAGCCACTAGTCGAAGCAAATCATTCTTATCAAGAATAAAATTAACTATGCACTTGTTAACTATGCACCTTATTATTAATAACTTTTGCTTCTGTGATAGAATTGGACAATAAAGCAGATTTAAGATGAATAATCAATGGCCAAAATTATTTTTGTCAGACGAACAAAATATGCTGGATAATGAAAGAAAATTATGTAACGAAAGATAATCGCTATTACACTTACTATAATTTGAAAAATATTGTTTTGAATTTTATGTTACTGTAGTCTGTCGACTTAAGCGAACTTTATTTCACTGTATGGTTTAATCAATACAATAAGATCAGTACGATTCTTTGCTATGGTATGTGTTAAGGATTAAAATTTTTCTTACTAATAAAATTTAAAGTATGAACCTCGATTATAGAGATACTAGAATAGATTTAGTTTAAGTATGCATATGAACACAAGTGGTTTAGTTTTCGAAACTAGAGTACATTTTGTACAGTCTTCAACTCCACTGAAATGAACAATTTTGTTTAACCCTTTCTAAGGCCGTGGTAAGTATACTTACCACCAATTTTTAAAGTCCATATTAACTTATCTACCACTTTTAATTTAGGTTTCCATTTGTTAACTACTTCAGCTTTCTTTAAGTGCGTTTGAATAAAATTGGCAACCATTTTTAAGTGTAAAAAAACGTATAAAAGTTATAAAATGCATAATTCCTACTGAAGTTAGTAGCATTTATAAAATTTATTTTATAAATAAAGAAAAATAAAAGTCAATAAGTTCCTAATAGGTCGTGGTAAATATACTTACCACCAAAAAAAAAAATGACACTAAAATTTAAAAATTTTTTTTATAAGCTAAATGAGTTTTTCTTTTCTTAAATCAATTACCATTCTTATATGAATTTCAATTCCAAAAATTATTTAATTTATTTTTACTAGAAGTAAATGGCCCACTAAAGGGTTAACTAATAGGTTGGTTGTTCCAGTTTAACATACGCAAGTGAATTAGTTTTCAATACTAGATAGCATTTTCTACATATTGAATCTCAATTGAAATAAATTGAACTTTTTAATTAACATGTTGACTTTTCCAGTTTACTGTTGCATAAGAACGTGGTTTACTTTTCAATTCCAGATAGCATTTCCTACATACTCTATCCCAATTGAAATAAATTGAATTCTTTAATTAATATTTTAATTTAAGTATAAAGAGCTGAATGGAAAAAAAAATGTAAACTGCACACATGAAAATAGTTAAGTTGAGAGAGAGGCGCGGCCTAAAGAAGTAAATTTTTTACGTATTTTTCTTCAATTCATTTCTCGATACCGTCTTGTTTGAAATATCTATACGCTATGTAAGCTATAAGCAGAGTGATAAATACTTTAATTGGATATAAGTAACTCATTCCATACCTTTTACCTGATCCATTTTCTTGCTTAGTGTTTTCTTCTGGTCGGTCGTTAGATTTATTGTTCTGCAACTTCTGTTCCGTTGATCTGCAATTATTTGATTTATTCTTTTGCCGACACTTAGGAGGATCAACTGCAGTAAGAATCTTTTCAAAAGTTGATATTCTGACAGATTCGTCGGAACTGCAGTCCTCAATTTTGGGTTCTTGCCTTGGGTACACTTCCCAAAAGGCAGATCTAACGTCTGATATGGCTTCTCCTATGGCTGCAATTAAGTCTGTAGGCTGCTCAGCTTCTTCAGCATTTCTTCTGAAATTTGGAAACAACTCGAAGGGACTGGGTGCTATGTCTGGCATGATCAAACCTAAATGCGGGCGTTCAAGTTCAGCGTCAGGCACACTAAAACGCCTTTCCTTCCTTCCTTTTTCATCGAAACTAATTCTGTACATGTCCCGGCAATCTGCCGCACAGTTTAAAAAGCTCTTTTTTCTTTGTTCATCGGACATTTCACTCTTCCAAGAAGAGGATGACGATGGCGTCAAGGATTTGTTCTGGACGCTCACTTCACCATGGCACTGGTCATCATCGGGCATTTCGTCTATGTTGTCCAGCACCCAACTCGTCGTCTGTTTGGTGGACGAAACAGCATCGCACTCACAGTCATTGCTCAGTTTGGACTTCAACGAATCAAGTACGTCCAGGGACGCAGATGAAGATGAAGAGGCTAGGTCAGTCCTCCTTGCGAAGTCCTCGGAGAAGGCTGAATCAGACCTGGCCTCGATATCAGAGAGCTTGCTAAGATTATCACTATCACTCTCTTTTGAAGATCTATCGTCGGATCTCTCCCTTTGCATCACACCTCGAATTCTGTCAGAGGTCGTTGAAAAATCTGTCGCGTTTGAGGAAGACGAAGCTGATTTTCCCATTGAGGAAGACGGAGGTGTTTCGAAAAAGACGCACATTTCTTTCTCCATGACGATGTTGAATTTGGTTTCTGGTTCCGCAACGTTGACGTCATCGCAAGTGACGGAAACAGAGGGTTCTCCTCCCCTGCAGTTGTGACCCCCACTGCAACAGGCTGCAGCTCCCGAGGAATAAGCATCAACTTTGTCGAAATCATTCCATTCCAAAGAAACCGAAGAAGAGGGAGAGGTGTCTTCAGATGATACGAATTCGCGGCATTCCACTTCATCGATTGTTACACAGGACCTAAATAAGATAGAAATAAGACAATATGGGATATAATGATAGAATAAAGATTATTAGAAAATAAAGTTAGATACAAAGTTACAGTGAATGTCCATAACTTTGAAAATACAATGGAATATAATGATAGAATGAAGATTATGAAAAAATAAAGTTAAATTCAAAGTGACAGTGAATGCCAATAACAGTGAATAGTGAAAATACAATGGAATATAATGATAGAATAAAGATTACGATAAAATAAAGTTAGATACAAAGTCACAGTGGATGTCCATAACATTGAATATTGAAATTACAAACAGGACTTTTACAGTAAAAAAATTATCAATTATAACTCTTTAAATGTTAACAGCCTAAAAATTAATTAGATGGGTAATAGATTCAAAACATCTTGTTATTACAGCAATTTTATTGAATTAAAAACCTTAAGCCAAGATTACCTTATCAACCTAAACAAGAAAGATTAAGACATAATCATAAAACTTGTTATTAGGAAAAAATAATAAACATTTGATAAATATAGCTTTAAGTTTGATTGTTTTCTTCTTTGATCAATACCATCAAACACTATAGGAAGTTTATTTTCCTTGTTAATCGTATTTGAACAAGGTAGAGAACTGTGTACTTAACAGTTACAAATGTAACTTTACACTTACTAACGTTACTTAATTATTTATTAAATGTTTACTTAACGTTATTAATGATTAATTTTTGTCCCCGAAACTTAAGAAGTGTTTTTCACTTTCATATTCTATTATTTCTTTTACATGTATTCGAACTTTTCTTTTTTATATGTACTCGAACTTACTTCATTTTTTTTTATTTGCAGTAGAACTCTTTTACAGCGATCAGGAATTAACTGCAGTATTTCTTCGTTATAATTGGATGCTCGTAAAAAAAAATTGCAAATAGTCTTACGTACTTACTAAATTATAAATAAAACATTTACTTTATTTCTATGTTATTTTCGTACAAATCGAAAAAATATTTGGCTGTGAGTTGTCTTATTGCTCTTCGGATAAGACCCATGGCCTGAAAAACAGAACCTTCTCTGCTTTCGAAAAATTTTCTCACGGTTGCTGAACATATAACTCATACTAACTTTCAATTTTCTTCAGAATGTTAAACAAAATGTTTTACGCGTAAGGATTAGCTAACCTGAAGAGGTGGAAGTACGTCGAGATTTTATAATTCTCAAAAATATTTGCTCGCTAAAACCAGGGTTTGCTAGTTAAAGGCGAGCTCTGTTCCATCATACTTAACATTGTCATTGTACCAACCAAGTATTTTCGATTTGTTTCTTAAATCCGAGTTCTTGTTGAATTAAGGCTCGTAGTAAGTGAATTTTTACTGTAATTTCTTAGTGGTCAGGCTATTAGACCAACCTTTATTTATTAAGGCGTTCCTCAAGAATGAATCAAGGTTGCATGTTTTATATACTAATAAATTATTGTTTAATAATCGTAGTGGTAGGTACGCCACAATAGTATGTCATAAAGTAATCATAATTCAATGTCATTAGTATTTTTGGTCAACATTGGTTGATTCGTCTGTAACAACTGTGTTGTTATAACCTCATCACATAAAAAGATTTACCAATAGAGAATAATAAAGAGAATCTCCGATAGATAATAAAAGTTCACTGTCGAATTGATAAAGTAAAAAATCCTTTAAGGGGACACAGAACATTCAAAATAAAAAGTACAATTTTCATTCGATCATTTTTAAGTTTTAACAGAATATTGGTAACATTAATAAAAGTCTGTGCACAAAGTTTCAGGAAAAAAAATTAGTTATAGCTAAAAGTATGGATTTTAATTGTATAGATTAAAAAGTTCCTTACAAACGAATTTTAATCTTTTTAAAATTAAATTCTTACCTAAACACGCTGCTTATAGGCATTTACATAAATTTAAATGGTTATGGTAATCAATTATTAAAAAATTAAATTAAGATAGTGAGTTAATCAAATGCATTTAGAATTATACAAGACACATCGAAGAGTATCTGAAAATTTTTTAATAGCAATAAAACAGAAACTTGTGTTTCAGGAAATTTTTGAAGTTGTGAAAACAATGAAAATTCCATTACCAGAAAAAGCAACTTTGTCCACGAGAACTGCATTTTTATTTACGGGTCTTTACGAATTCATTATCTTATAATTCGGTAAGAAAAACTCTTATATGGTTGGTTCGGCTCTGATTTAAACACGGTTTGTTGCCCATTACTTGGTAAAGTATAAATTTTTTTAATACCTCAAAAACCAAATAATGGTTTTTTGAAGGATTTTTCTCACTCTGAACGTCTAGTGTTCCCTTAAAAACTTCTGAAGCAAGAAGGCAGCTTTTTCGACTTTCAGTTTGGCATTTTATTATCAGAAAACTTAACTCGTCAAAAATATTTATTGTGTCAGGATACCGTACGGAATATAGGAAATAAACCTTACTAAAATTATTTTTCAGGCATTTTTAACACGTTGAATGCCACGCTAATTTTACATGGCTTACCCGTCTGGTTAAACGGTAAAAAACTACAAACTAAATTTGCTAATTTGACAGATTTTGCTAGTTTTTTTAAAAGGTTTAACATGACCTTTCTGAAAAAAGTGGTAAACTATATAAGCCATTGTTTAGAAATAAAGGTGGTTAAAAATCTACTAAATTGAATTTAATAAGCCAAGAATCACAATTAATAAACTACCACTTGAAAATATTTATTCACTTGCCGGAGCAAGTTATCATCTCTGTGTATATAAATAAAACTGTTTTTGTGTGTTCGATATTACATTAATTTCTTCAAACCATTTTAGTGACGATAATGATATAAAAATATTAAAAATTTACTCGAATTATGTGTTTCTAACAATCTTAATTTCGCCGGACACCGGTGGCATTCAACGTGTTAATATTATATGAGGTCTTTCTTTGCACTCTGCCAATAAAGTTTTTAAAAAACTTACCTTTTTAAACGTTTCCTAAGACCGCATCGTACTCCTTTCTTTGCAGCATGCAACTCAGTGTCACTAAAAGAGGGTGTTTTGGGGGGTCTGGGAATGGGACAAACACACTTCTCGTCACATTTGGCAACCTCAAGTTGGTTAACTGGTTTTTCACTCAAGGCATTTCCGACAGATTCATTCACTTTCTTCACTGTCAACACCTGACTGCTGTCCGGATTATCTTCCTCGTCATCAGTTCTCCTGTAATCATTCGTTTCATCAGACACAGATGAAGTTCCTTCCATCGATATGACTGATTCATCAGACAGCGTTACCTGACTTGATTCGTCAAGAGAGGATTGCCTGCTATCGTTTAGACTTTTTGATGTTGGCGATACTTTAGAAGCTTCGCCAGATCCTTCGGATTCTAATTTCTCTTTGATGTTCCTCAGGGAACCAAAAGTATGACTTACGTTCTTAAAGAGATCGAAACTTTGTATGGAACCCTGGCTTGAAGTTAAACTTTCCAAACGCTCTTTGAGTTTGAACAAAGATCGTCTCACCTCGCTATCTCGAGATTTGGACAAGTGAGCATGATCTGCTATGTTTTGTTTTAGATCGCGGCAGCTAAGGTCTGATGTGCTACAGGTAGGTGAATTGTTCGCTATTTCAGATGGATTTTGTTTTGAGTTATTATTATCTAGTGCTATGATTTCACTGTCTTCTGAAGGTTCACTTTCACTCAGTTTACTCTTTTTAGAGTTTTTAAGAACAGATTCTATTGGTTCATTGGGTGATTTTTGTACTCTTGGCTTGGTTTTCTCGAGATCGGTTACTTCCGAGTTGAAACGTATGCTTCTGATCCTAGATTCACTTTCATTTGACAAATCCGTTGCTTCAGATGGTTTGTCAGATGGTTCGATTCCAGTAATTAAGGGATCAGTTATGTAACAAATTGGACCGATAGGTGATGGCGTGCGAGATAATTCCCCCTCATCTTCATCTTTTTTATCGCTTTCGTTGGTAGCATCTACTTCTGAAGGGGGTTTCATTTTGGACTCTGTAATCGATTTATTGGTTGGAAGATCTTTATCGCTAATCATCTTTAAGCCATCATCCGATTCCAAACTACCCTGACTTGATTTTGAAGAGTCAGAACTAATCTTTTTTATCAAGTGAACTCCGTTTGAATCTTCTGAATGCCGCGAATGTAGTTTGTCCTCAATTTTGGGATCCGATATGGGTCTAATAAGACTCCTCCTCGTCCTGATAGAGTGATCCATACCATCCTGCCGAATCACGTGGTTTCCTTCATTAGGATAATTAAGTTGCTGCTGTTGCATTAATTGATCAATTACTCCAGAAGACCCGGGAAACCGACCATCGTTCTTTCCTGATTGAGGTGGGGACGATTCGGCGGAAGATGTTTGGCTACTGAGTACTGTCACTGGAGATGCTTGAGCTGAACGGCTTCCGAATCTTGATATGTTGTGTCGTACTTCATTCTGGGAACCAAGTGTCTCAAATTCACTAGTGCTTCGCTGGATCACAGATATAACACTTTCCTCGCTGTCCACACTAGTATCACTTGTGATACTATTACCTTTTCGAGGTATGACTGACACAATAGATTCCTCACTATCTACACTGGTGTCACTTTTAACAGAACTCCCTCTGCTGCAGCTGCGGGGCATAGTGTACGTCCGAAGTGCTGAGGCCAGTACTCCTTGAGCTGCCGAAGCAGAGAATCGTCTTGGTACTTGATGTGAGGAGGAGGAATTGTCTCCAGTATCAACACTGAGGCTTCGCTTCACAAGCCCTCGTTGGGGTATATTGACTACTGTTCTCTCTTGCGTCTGATAACCAAACGTAGAGTTGCCAACTCTGGAAGCAAGATCGTTTGGACCAGAGGAGGTATCGGCAAGAATGTTCTGGGCTTGTTCGTAGAAGCTTATATGCCTCTGTTTGTCAGAGTTAAACATTGTTTCTTCAGGAATGTCATCAATCAGTTTATAGAGTTCTGGCATTGAGTAATACGAAGATAAGTGGCTCTCCAGAGAGTCATTTTCAGTCTGCAAAATTAGAATAATTTACATTTAATGAGCAATAAGGTAATTTAAAAAAAACTGATCCGAAAATAGACTTACTCAATTAACATTGAATAATAATAATAAAATAAAACAATTATTATCATGCCATATCAGAGGGAAGTTCGTTGCAAGACAACGATATGTCGCATTTCTGATATATATATATATATAGCAGCAGACGGCCTCAGGCTTTGTGGCGGGGAAATTTTTTACCGTAGACATAATATATATGAGAAAAATATACATAATTAACGTTTAGAACTTTATCACATTTTAAAACTTAAATGCTACTTAAAAAGGAAAAAATTCATTACATTTATTTATTTTATTCATAAAATTTCGATTTAATAGTTTATAATTTTTAGACTTATCACCATTTCTCAATAAATCCTTCAGTTTTCTAATATTTTCCGAATTTGCCAGCAGGTATATGTTATTCTTTTTAAAAAATATGATAGAAATAGAAAATAGGAAGAAATATGGCAGAAATTTATAAAAATGTAAAAATCCGTTTAAGAGTACATTTGGTTTTACCATTTTAAATAGATCGCTTTTATAAAGTAAATTTAGTTAGTAAATAAAATTATCGAACACTTTTAAAAGTATTTTGATTTGCCCTTTTCAAATAAATCCTTTTATTAAAGTCGAGGAATTGAAAATAGCAAATTAATTCTGCTTAATAAAAGGTTTAATTTGAAGCAAGCATTAATAATCAGGATGCCGATTAGCAATTAGCAGCATAATTTACATGCATAATAGTAGTTTATGAACATAAACAACATGAAACCGACATGTTACCTTTAACTCTGTAGATTCACTTTGCTCCGTCGTAGGTGGCTTAACTAGATCATTATTCCGGGGCTCTTTTATTTTTTTCACTTTACAAGGGCCGTTCGAAATTTTAACCGAAGACTTCCTACCAGAAGTCACAACAAAATCACTATTTTGTAATTTCTCCTCCGTTAATGCTGTGTTGATTTCTTTAATGTTACATTTAGAAGATAAAACTTTATCCTCCTCCAGAGACACATCCTGGCGCAACTTACGCAAGGCATCTGCCGGACTGTTGTACCGCCGAGAACTCTTGGTTTCACAAGGTACCACTGGAATATCACTGGCGTTCTTAATACCATCCACCAATACGCTGGCTGCAAAGGTTTGCAGCATTGAGGGTTTGGCTTTGACCCGAGGTCCAGCGGTGATGTTTGGGTTAGATTCAGTCTCGAGTTCTTCTTTCCCATATGTAGGACTTAAGGACATCAGTTCTTCTAAGCGTGACATCATAGACACAGTTGATTTGGAACGCACAATACCGTTGACGTCACCACCTCTCGCTTTAATGACGTATTCCCTAGGATCACTTGCAGTGGATATTCGCTTGTGGAGATCTGACAGAGGTTCTTTCTCGCACTTTTTCACCCTCAGGAAGCCAGGAATCATATTGAGGAAATCAATAAGAGATCGAGATTTTTTCCCGGAATCGGGCTCGCTAACCGGAAGGCAAGAGGTACACATATGGGCTTCACAGCTACCTAATTTCTCGTAATTGGTACTTGTAGGCGTACCACACTTTTTACACATATCGTAACCCTCTAAGTGGCGTATCTCAATTGGTATGTCGTCATCGTCTGGTTGATCCGGGTAATCAGAATCTAAACTGTCCTAAAATTAGAAAGAAAAGTCCATAAATTTATTTTTGCTTATGATAAGTAAGCGTTTGTAATTCCTAATTGAGTTTAAATTAAATATTATCTTGTTGTTAGGGCATGATTCTGAATTGAACAACCTGATAATGCTCACTCTGGTTATTGTTTCCGTTCTTAAAAGCGCTATATGTTGAGCCAGTTTAAATTAAATATTATCATGTTTTTGGGGCATGAATCTGAATTGAACAACCTGATAATGCTCACTCTGGTTATTGTTTCCGTTTTTAAAAGCGCTATATGTTGAGCCACCTCATGTGACACTTGCCATGCGACATTTTTAGCAGCATTCATTGGTCGATTTTCTAACGTTGCCATTCGGGGAGCTGTAATGAGGCTTTTTTTTTGGTGCTGTGTAAGAGAAATATATATATAGATGCTTTCTTTATATTCCTTGCATTTATAAACTTAATTTATAATATTTTTAATCCACCACTATTTTTAAAAAAATTAAGCATATATATCAATATATAATATAAAAATGTAATAATCCGCACAAGCTTGTTCAAAATGTAACTACCTAAAATTGCATTTTAAATTTAAATATACTACCGCTGGGGAAAATCATCCTTGAAAGGATTAAAAGTTGGCAGGTCAGGTATGCGTTAACATAAGCACATAATCTTCACAGTAACTGTTCATCACAGGCATAATTTGTCAGAAATTGTTTAAAAAATTACATCTGGTTTTTTGCCAATTTCTTTCGTATTTTTCGTTAATTACTGATCCCGTAGACCCCCGTCGATTTATTTTGAATTACATAAAAAGATCTTATAATGATTCTTGCTGTGGACGAATAAATATAGTGATTGAGTAAGCAAATAAATTAAAGAAATAAGAGGAAATGGTAATTAAGGATTCGTGATTCTACGTTTCGGTTTGTAAATAAATAGAAAAAAAAGTTAATAAACCTATATTTCGTAAAACGACACTGGTTAAGCATATTGATTTTTATAAATGCTTTTGAAATCTTACATGTTTCGACCAAGTTAAAGTGCTAAATATTACACACATTACATAACCCAAAAGTTTTATTCACCGTACGGAATCTAATGGTTTCAGATGCAAACTTCAATTGAATTACAAATAAAAATTTTGAGAATTGCAGAGTACCACATATCGTTCTTCTTGTTTTCGTGAATTAATGATACTTTGGAACAAATTTCTTGTTGCAAACATAAAAATACTTGATCTTACCTAATGCGGTGTGGGTATTTCAAATCAAAAGTTAATTTTGTCCGAACAGTTAGAATTTTTCTTCTTCAAAATGATATCTTTAGTTTAGTTATTTTTTCTCTGAATGTGCAATATTATAAAAAAAATGTATTACGTTATATACATACGTACATACTTGTCTTCTTCCTTGAAAGTAGCACTTCACAGAGAGAGAGAGAGAAACATCCATGTCCAGAGCGGGATTCGAACCCGCAGCCATTGGCTTCGCAGTCAGGCACGCTAACTACTCGGCCACCTGGCCGCTAAACTTAAATGTATTATCGCCTTTTTCTTACTACTTCCTACGTAGCTGAGAAGTGGGAACACTTAGGATTCCCTCGAATGAATTTTTAAAAAAACGGGTTCAGGAATATATCATTGAATTGTTTAAGAATTGTAGCTTGTAGAGGGAAATAGATTCCAGATTTGAAACCAGAGACGTGAAATATCTAATATCCGTTCAAATATCTCATGCAAGAAAAAAGAAAGTTTCCTAGTGCATTTAATAGTAGCTAAAATGCATTTAAACATCATAAAAATTAACGGTACTTTTCTTAAGGTAATCTAAAAATGTTATAAAACTATGAACAGTTTTTCTTTATAAAATAGGAAAAACTTACTTGACGGAACGCATCGTTTTTAGGAGATTTCGTTCCGTTTTCTTTACCGCTTTTTCCAAAATCCATACTTTCGGACACACAAGGTTTTCTGCAAGATCTGTAGAAATAAGGCTTATTGGAGGAGGGAGGGTGCTTTACATCATCGTAGGCAGGATTAGACAGTCTCTGAAATGCTCTCCTAACAAAACTGTAGCAAGTTTCATTTGGACTGGACAGCTCAGAGCTACTTTGGCTGCTGTTGGCTCTGCAATGTTCGGCGGATCCAGCACTCCGGTATTTACGAGGGCCATTCCGGAACTTTTGCCTCTTCTTGTTCGCAGCCGCTTGTCGACCTTCGTTGTCCGATATGTGGGAGTATGCGTGGTACACCAAAATATCATCATCACTAGTGGTGGTGCTGGTCAGTTCTCGCTCGACGGATGAACCCCGGTCTGAAACAAAATTGAATGCCATGATCACAAATTTATACGCATAAACAGTGGTTTTATAAAAAAAAAAAATTAATGTGGTACTTTAAAGAGACAAAAAAAAGTTATAACTTAATTTAAAACCCACCAAATATTTAATTTTCACTTCAATTTAAAAAAGTAACAATTAAATCATTTTTAGAAGAAAAAAAATCTAGTTACATAAATGAACATGTCGTGGTTGTAAGAATATTTTTTTACATCTAAAAATAATTGAGAAATATGATAATTTTCCCACCACTATTTTATTTTACACAGGATGTTGTGATCACCTATTTATGAAAAACTTGAAACGAAATGTTTCAAAATATATTTTTTAAATAGATTCTAATGAAAGGTTCCCATGAGCCTTAAAAAATCTAAAAGCTGTAGTGAATTCACGTTAAATGAAATAGGAATATATATTTTAAAAATTTCTCTTTAACATTTATAGTAGGGCCTGGGATCCCACGGGTGATTAAAAATGTAAGAAGTGGTTGGAACTCAATTTATTTTTATTTATGTAATCTATTCAATTATTCAATTGAAAATACCACTATTATTTACATGGCAAATTATTCCTATTTATTTAGAAAATTTTCTCCAACCAAGACACAATTACTACTCCCACTATCTCATGATAACATCATTTTAAAAAAACTTCTCAAAATTGACAATTATAAAATTTAAAATTACATCATATCAATTAACTTTGTATACTTAGCAACCTTATGTTTATTTGCATACTTACGTAGTTTAATTCATTTATTTATGTATTTATATAATATTCCGATAACATTCATGGTTACGCTGTTCAATTCATTCATTCATTTATGTATTTATATAATATTCCAGTAATATTTCTTCCCAAAAATATCTCTTGACAACTGCTACGATTGAACAATAGTTGAAAATAAGTACTTAAATAGCAGACAAGGTCAAAAATATCAGATGTTACACGCGGCAAGTCTTTCCAGAAAAAAAAAAAACACGAAACTGGCGAATACAGGTGTTCAAATTATAAACTGATGAAAATCTCCCGTCATCTTTTAATCGAGAATTTTCAGACATTTGAAATACAACAATGGAAAAGAAGTGTAAACACCTGAGATATTTACACAATGATTAATGCTCTTAAAGTAATGTTAGTAATAGTAAATGTTCAATGAAATGAAAGTCTCGTGAATCATACAGTTCAACAAATGGATGAACGTGAAAGTAAGAAACAAGGGCTTTTTTTTTAAACTTACAAACAAATGACATAGCTTACAAACTAAGTTATTACCTTCGCTACTGCTTTTAACAGGCTCGTGCCAGGGTACCAAAACATCCTGCGAGTCAAACTGAAAATTGTAAAATTAATAAATTTAAATTGAGTATATAAACAAACTGAAAACAAATTCAAAGTAGTTCGGCTAACACTTTTATCTTTTAAATAGGATTTTTACCAGTTACAGGGTACCGACGGCCTGGATTTTTTTTTAAAGTGGTAGCAAAAGTGATATATATCTAGATGTTTTAAGCTATCAATAAATATTTAATTTGTAGGAAATATATATGGGTGAAAAAAATAACTCGGGTAAATTTCGTAATTCACAAATGAAAGATACATTTAGGTATTTTTCAGTAGTCTTGAAACATCTTAGCTAAAAGTCATTTACTTTTTCCATGTCGTGGGTACCCTGTTGTTAGTCGCAGGTGAGTGCTACTTTTATGCTAATTTTTAAAATTTCAAATATTTCTTTGTGTTAGTTACCACTTTCTCTTTGAAAGGGCGTTTGATTTCATATAGAAATATAAATAATGATACTAATATTAAGGTTTTAGTTTCCATAATAATAAACAAATAAAAAAATGTTAATAAATGCTTGTGATACCACCTCCCCCCCCTTTTTTTTTGAAAATAAAAGACAACCCTTTTAACAAAAAGTAAATTGATTCGATTAAATTCACAATATATTAAATTCCCAATTCGATATTTAAATTCACAAGTAAACTGATTCGAATAAAATTGCTCAAACATTATCCAATAAAAGAGAAGTTAAGGATATGAGTGTCTGTCAGTCTCAAAACTTTTCGTGAACTTAATTAGATATTAGACGCTTTTTGTTGAATTTTAGTCAGACCACTTTTTAAGAAAAGCTTTCTTAACTAACTAACTAATCAAAATGCTACAGAGCTCCTATCCAATTCAGGATATCTGCTCTTTCATCTCAGTAGAATTAAAATTGGAGGAAGGGAAGCTTAACATTAGGTTTAGGTATCAAATAGTTCAAATGTATAAGAAAAGCTTTCTCAATCGAATCCAAATTTGCGGAATAGGAATTAGTTCTTAAAATGAAGTGGTAATTAGCAAAACCACAAGCTTTATAAAAAACTGAGATTGTTCGGTAATAACTACACTGTGCAGAACATGCGTGCCGTACGTTTACACACGTTAGTTCTGATAAGCAAAATTTGGCAGGTACGAAACTGTAAAGAATACCAAGTTATATACACACACCCCAGAAATGCTAACTGTTCCGGATTCGACAAATTAATTAAAAAAATAATTTAGAGAACTGCTAACTAAAATTTATAGTCTTTCGGTTAAATTTGTTTACTTTTGAAAAAGCTAAACTGTAACAAAGTGGTGTATCAAATAGGTTTCGATTATTTAGAAGTAGTGGCGAGCAAAAACCCCATAAATCGAATTTACTAAACCGAGAATCATACATTAAAAGATTACCACTAGAAAATATCTCTCCGCATACGTTAAATAATTCTACAGTGGATGTAATAGCAGGACTACCAACTACTACGTTTTTTGTAAAATATTTTAAAAAGTGGTAGACATTTAAAAACCAAAATTTTCAGGTCAATTCGCCAACATTTTAAAAGCCTCAATACGAAAAACCTGGAACAAAGTGGCGATCATATGAACGTATAAATCAATTATGAGTAGTGGTGTGGAAAATAAGTTTAAATGAATAAAAAATAATACATTAAAACATTGACTTCCACTAGAATAAATTTTTACTAAGCGCGTAGAAAGATGGCAGTCCTCTATTAACAATGTATAATTTCTATCTACTATAAATTTTCCATAATTTCAGAAAATATTTTTCCTATTGGTAGCAGAAGTTATGCAACAATATTTTATTAAAAAAATCTTCACCCATGACGACCGATAAATAATTTAAACAAATATTTTAGAAATCAAAACTGACATACTGCTTTAAGCTTTGATAATAGTTAAATAAAAATTCTAGCATTAGTCGAACGAAAATATTTCGCAGAAGCATTGAAATGTTGGAGAGTATGGAAATTCAATAATGTTTTATATATAACTCAGATTCTCTCCCTAGTACTTTTTTTATGTGACTCGATTATTTTATTTTCCGTATTTATTCTGGCGAACTAAAAGCATTTATGTTCAACCAAACATATTATTACAAGTAGTATTTTGATCTAAAGTTACGAAGATGCAAACTTTACTTTTTTTCCCAAAAAGTTTTATTCATGCTATCTTTAGTTAAAAGTTTCTACGTTTCTTTACTTAATAATCTGAACTGGTTTTTAGGCTTTGAATACTGTTGAAATTTTAAAATTCCGGTTTTTAATATGCTGACTTCAGCTTTTAACTTGACGTTTCTTGACTGATCTGTTGAGTACTGATCTTTCACTGTTTGTACTTCATTTCCGAACCGGGATAGCCTGGTTGACAGGGTGCTGGACTCACGTTCGTAAGAACGGGAGTTCCAATCCATCCGGCCGAAGGTTCCCCGGGCAGTAAATGAGGACTGGTGCCTTTTAAATCTGTCGGGTCACAAAGTCCTCCATGTTCACATAAAGAATTATACCTCTGGAGGTACTGCATGCGAGATTGATCGTTCTCTGGTTCAGGTCAAAATTACGATCTGTGGATGAATGGATGGATGTATAAATGGGTCCGCCCTGTGAACGGGTGTGGCAGAAGTTGAATTCTCGGTCATAGATGGCGCCACTGGAAAACAAGAACAATCATATCCCTTCCTTTAAAGGTCTATGACAACAACAACTTTATTTCCGAAACTTAATACAGAATATAAGATTCAGAACTTTTAAGTGCAAAAAAAAAAAAAATTCTTTCTTTAAATGACGTATCAATACAGCCTTAATGTTTTCAGCCTCGAATTATCCTGCATAATATTGTACATTATATTAAAATGAGAAAATAACTTTAAAAAAAAAAGAGTTAAAACCTTCAAGTACAAAAACGCTTTGTACCTAAATTAAATAGTCTCCCATTGCACATCGTCATAAAACGAACAAAAATAATGGTTTCAATAAATTAAGAGTTCGAACATTGGTTCTCACTTTTCTGTGTCGTTGTTCCATAGCCCATACAGTGATAAGCACCTTCCCTCCTATTCTGAGCACTCTTGTGATTTCTTTGATGGCAGCCACTCTGCGATCAGTTGTTGCAAAGTGATGGATAACAGCGATGGACAGCACAGCATCGAAGGTTTCATCTCTGAAGGGCAAATGAAGGTTGTCCGATGTCATCACCTCATAATTTTTTGCCCGAGCAGCAGCTGTCAGAGCTTCGCAGCGATCCACACCAATCTTCATCACCTCGGGATTGATGTCCAGGTACTTTCCGTTGCCACACCCTGATAAGAAAATTAAACATTTTGTTAAACTACTAGAGTTTTTACAATAAACATAATAAACAAGTAAATCTGAAAGTCACCACATAACTTTATATACGTGCTTTGTGTACGCAATAAGTAATCCGGAGAAAAATATTATGAAGGTTTTTCCATAATATGTTCCGCCTCCTGCAAGTTAGGTGGCTTCACCAAACTCAACCTATAATTGAAAGGTTAACACGGTTTCTTACATGTCCGATGTAGAGCCCCTGAATTAGACAGGCGGACTTATCATTTATCGTTGGAGCAAAGAGCTAACATAAGACAGCAAATAAATCCTAACAGCGAATAAATACTTTCAAGTGGTAGTTTATTAATTGTAATTTTTGGTTTAATAAGTTCGATTCAGTAAATTTTAATACACCACTATTTCTAAACAATGCGTAGGCTTATATAATTCACCACTTTATAGTACATATTACAGTAGACGTTAAAGTTTATGTTAAAGGAATAACCGAAATCGGTTTTCAATGGTTTAAATTGTAAAAAATCCAAAAACTGATAAATGTGTTATTTTAAATTACTAGTTTAAAATCGCAGATACTTATTGCTTTAATGTTTTGAGGAAAATTTCATAGAAGTTCTAAAATTTATCAAGCTCTATATCTTTTAATCTAATAAAGCGACACTTTTATTTTCCACTTTAAAAAAAAAAAAAGATTTTGATTGTGCTGCCGAAAGATAAATCAAAAGTTTGTAATATCATCAAAAGTTTGTTAAATTAAAAAAAAAAAAAAAAAAAAAAAAAAAAAAAAAAAAAAAAAAAAAAAAACGAAAAATTACCAAATCCAAACTGAAATCCAAGATGGCGCGGGTAAATGCCTCTTTTAACTAGAATTCTTTCGCTCTTTTTTAGATAATTTAACATTCCGAACTGACTTCTCTAATATAAACTAGCTTTGTATGAATATTGGTACTCTTTTTTTAAAAAAAGAAATGCACCATATAATTCTCAACTCTAAATTTCAGCAGTCTATATCTTTCTCAGTAAGTGCATTGAACGATTCTCCACGTTTTAAATTGTATCAAGACTTTTTTACAAATATCGTTTTACGCTACTTGGTAGCAATTTCATATCGGAAGGATTTGTTTTTATAAAATTTCTCATCACATTTTTGCTTTTCTACGCGGCGTTAGTATTATAACTTGCATATAACCGCTTGGACTCAACTGTTGGTCTCGAGCGAAAATATAGGATGAGCTTTTTTTATTATTCAATTTAAATTAAATAATTAATTTTAGTTGTTATATAACTACCAATAAAATTTTTTAATTATATTTTTATATAATTTTAATTTAAATTAAGATTTGTGGAGGGTGATGCAGCTGATGGTGAGTTTATTTAATTAGCGACCAACTAATAACAGTGGTAGCTATGACTTAACTAAATGGAGAAGTCTGACTGTGACACAGTACTACGCAAAAAATTAGTGCGACTTTTCTCTGACTCATTTCTTTCAAACTATTTCAGACGATGTTGATTTCTCTTTAACACTTTCACGCCGGGGTAAAAACTGATAACAAATAAATTTTATTTTTTAGTTTTTTTCCGGGAATAATAAAAATCCATAACTACCAATTGCTTTTAACAGATGCAATTTTGAAGTTATACTTCTTATGCGACTTCCAACAAGGTTACGTTTAACGCTACATTTTTATTGGCCGGGAAATAACGTGGTAGGATCCAGTTTCCCCTCATTCATTTCCATATTGTTTTGGTTCTCACTAGCATGAAAATAATAAAAGTATTGTTTTTCTATAAATATTTTTTAGTTTGATGTGATACACATATAATTTAATAGGGTAGTATTTTTTACTAGTGGGCTGTGCCCCCTGCTCGTTAACGCTCGCCAACCCCTGAAACTTGCTACGCAATCTTATATGGTTTGCTTCGCAAACCAAGCTCGATTCGCTCGCTACTAATTTAGGTACATAGCAAATGCACAAAATTCTAAGAATTCAAAACAATCATTCAAATTCATAAAACAACTTCTTTTTTTAAAAAAATTACATCTTTTTAGTAAATACTAAGTCATTAAAATAAATTTGAATTCAAATAAATGACATGTAATTCGTTAAACCTATTAGAAATGTGCTATAGTATAAAATCTTAAAGCGTAACAGCACGACTGAGACTCATTTTTCAATGAATAACTAATAACAATAATAAAACAAATAAATTCGTGATATAAATCAAAAATCGTCAAATGAATTCGTAACATATAAATTCGTGAAAAAAAGCGCTTTCGACAAAATACTAAATAGGGATCTATCAACAAAGACTACTAACTTGTGCCTAGCTTAATAGTATGAGATTGCCGCAGCTGATGCTTTCTCAGGTTATTTTAGTTTCCGTTTTTAAAAGCGCTATATGTTGAGCCACGTCAGCTAGATTTGGCATGTGACATTTTTAGCGGCAATCATTGGTCGATTTTCTAGCGTTGCCATTCGGGGAGTTGTAATGAGGCTTTTTTTTTGTCGCCGTGTAAGAGAAATATATATATATATAGATTTTTTACTGCGAGGGAACAAAAATGCACAAATATTTTGTGATTTGAAAAAAGCGGCGATTTCTGCATTTGCCAGATAGCTAACCTTGAAGCATTAACTCGAGAATTTAACTCGCGATAATCAGGTAAGCGGTTAATGCTGAAAAGTTCTAAGACTATAAAATAGAAGTTTCTGAAGCTCCTTTGGGGAAATAAAAATTTTGGGTAAATATTGACTCTTGGGAAAAACAAAAATACAATAAATGAGAAGCAATTACCAGTGTTGGTGAGTAAGCGAGCACTCGATGAAGCCTTTTCGATGCTTAACCCTTTGGCGCAGATGGGACTCCGGTGACCCTTTTACATATTTTTTTCTGACCCTCTAATTACAAGCAAAAACATATTTCGGTATTTTTAAATTATAAAAAAGCAATTTAATAGTTAGTAAAAAAAAAATCTGCTAGATTATCGGAATTATATTTGTACTAAAATATAAAATCCCAAAACAAGTTGCTTTAAACAAAAAAAAAATTTCACTCATACTCTTAAAATTTATCAATAATTGATTTTGTAAATTTAAGAAATTTCGACAATGATTAACTGTTATTCTTGGATTTAACTAAGGCTCCTATACTATCAGAGCTGACCTATCAAGCAATATTGGAGCAAACAAGTTCGCAAGTTAACGTTATGTTAGTATTAGTTATGTTATTACAGAGATGCCAACTGCGCCGGACATACCAAAATAATTTAAAAAGCGGTAAATAACTACAAAGTAAATTTTGCAAATTGTTGACAATATTTCATACCTGCCAACTTTTAATCCCTTCCATTACAATTTTTCCCAGTGGTATTAAAATGGAATTAAAACTTCAATTTTAAGCAAACAAATACGTTGTATATGAGCAAACTTAAGTTGACAACCATGATAGTAACGCATATTAATATATGTGATTAATGTTTGTAAGAATAGTGGTGATCAAAATCATTTAAAAATTAAATTTATAAAAGAAAAAATAGTGTATATTTACTACTACTTTAAATATGAAAACAAAATCTTCCGGAAAATCCGGAAGAGTTGGCAGGTATGATATTTGCTTGTTTTTAATAATGTAAAGCATGTAATAAGTACTATTAATAAACTACCACTTGAAAATATTTATTCGCTGAGCTTATGTTAGCTCTTTGCTCCAACAATAAATGATAAGTCGGCCTGTCTAATTCAGGGGCTCTAGATCTCTAACTGCAGAAAAGTGCAAAGGTCCTTAGAACGTTCACGCCGGGTGTTGCGCCTGAAAGCGGGACGGAAAAGAGAAAATACTGGTAGAAGAACTATTTCAATATTAGATAATATTCTGGAGGAGTCAATCTATTCTCAACAATAACAATTCACTGTAAGGAAAATTTTTTTTAATCATGGCGAAGAAGCAATTCAATATGAAAATTGCATCCGTTAAAAACAATTGATAGTTATGGATTTTTATTATTCCCGGAAAAAAACTAAAAAATGAAATTTATTTGTCACCAGTTTTTACTCCGGTGCGCCGCCTGATGAGACAATCTAGCGTGACCCACCGGTGGGTCAACCCGTCGTGAACGCATTAATTTTGCCAAGAGGCAGATATATTAGCAAAAGAACGTGCAATGCCTTTCAAAAATTCGAAACAATGTTCCTTAATTAACTGGAATTTTAAACAAATAAAGAATTTTAAAGACAAGAAAAAAAATTCTTAACTTCTGGAAAGCCTACTTACTTGTGTTAATAGTTATAGACTGTGTAAGGATTTATTTCATTCATTAAGTTTCGATTATTCCATTTAATTAAAAGTATACAACAAATTTTTAATTGAAATAACATAAGTTTAACAAAATGTTTTGGGTATAATTTTTATCTACCTTATATGTGCTGGTTTTATTGTGCTACACAGGCTAGCGTAATGATAATTTTCACAATAATATTCTCTGTCTGACTGTATTATGGTGCAGATAAATTTGAATTTATGAAGATAGAGCTACAAAGTGACTCTGTAAATTCTACTACCGGTTCTAAAGGTTGGCACTAATATACTATTTCTTCTACATCAATTCCTATTTTTACCTAATATCGTATATTTTCAAAGTATAAAATTAAATGTTTCGATTAGAAGATCATAAGGGCCGTTATAGTCTGGTTGGCAGGACACTGGACTCACGTTTGTGTGAACGGGGGTTCGAATCCAGCCGGCTGAAAACTCTCCGTGTAGTAAATGGTGACTGGTGCACGTTAAATCTGTCGGAGCACTAATGCTCTATGTTCCCATTACAAATTAATACCTTTGGGGGTGCAGAATTGGAGATTGATCGGTCTCTGGTTCAGGTCAAAATTACGATCTGTGGATGAATGAATGGATGTATGAATGGGTTCGCCCTATAAACGTGTGTGGCAGAAATCGACTTCTTGGCCATAGAGGGCGCCACTGGAAAACAAGAGCAATCGCACCCATTCTGCATTAAATGTCTGAAGACGACAACAACAACAACAGAAGATCATAAACTTTTACTAAACTGAGTAAAGTCTCTAGGTAAAAAAAAAAGTGTCTCTTTTCATCGAGTACAAATATCAGAAAATGAAAATCATGAAATATATATTTAATTTCCCAAAACTTAATAAAATAAAATAATTACAAAAAGTGCCAATCTACTACCACACTCTTGTACCTAATATACACGATTAGTTACTAATAAAAATATAATAATAAGTTTACATTCATGTCTTGCAAAGCTAATTATAAAATAGACTAAAATTTCAATACACTATTTGAGATATAAATAACTAAATGCTCGCGATTCTAGAACATTTATGATTTTATCCGTTTACAAATAAATATGTAGTATTTAATACGTAACAAACAATTTAGTGTTTTTTATATTTTATTTATTTACCTAATTTTGTAGTTTTCAACTTTGAGACACGTACAGAGATGCCAACTTGCTCCGGACAGCAAATATATATTTTAAGGTGGTAGTTTATCAGTTGTGATTCTTAGTTCAATAAATTCAATTTAATAGATTTTTATCCACCACCATTTCTAAATAATTCGCAGGTTTATATAATTCACCACTTTATAGTACTTATGTCAAGCTATACCTATTAAAAAGCAAGCAAAAAATAGTCAAATATTTGCAAAATTTACTTTGTAGTTATTTACCGTTTTTTAAATTATTTTGGCGTGTCCGGAGCAGTTGGCATCTCTGCACGTATGAAAAATTTCAGAAATGATAAAATTCTTATAAAAATTAGGCATATATTACGTTATTAATTATTAACCCTTTCGCGCCGACTGTCACAAATACGTGCCAGCATAAAGCTGTATCAACCAGGGTAAAAAGATAAAACTGGTAATCAAAGAAATTCTTTAGCAGTTTATTTGTGGGNATGGTTAAAAAAAAATTTCAATCTCTGACCAATTACTATTGTGATCAATAAGAACAAAAGATGGAAAAAAATTATGTAAAATAATCTAGTAATCCAGAATAATCTATTTAATGCTAAAATAATCTATAGTGATGCCATGTTGAAGTTTCAAAGCGGTACTTAACGAAACATTGAGCTACTTTAGATCCAGCTACTTTAGATGCATCTTGATTTTGATGATTTTTTATCTCTCCTTGGCCCTTTTCATCCTCAATAGTGATCAATCCTGATCTGAATTGATCACTATTGAGGTTTAATTAATTACACATTTATTATTTTTTTTGCACTTAAATATTAATTTGAGAATCTTAACATAAATTGTGTTTAAACTTAATTTTTTTAAACTACGTAGGAAAGTTCGAACAGACTAATCTTAAAATACATTTTTTAGAATCCTTGTCAAAAATGTGCACAGATAAGGGATGTCCAATTAATATTTTAGCGATGACAAAATAAAAAATATATTCGAAAATTAACAAAGAACTTCTGAGGAAGGCTGTGAACCTGTTAAGGAACAGAGAGAATCTAAAAGATGATTATTAGAAAGTACATCTTCAAGCAATCAAACTGGTTTTGATTTTTTTCTCCCGGCCTTTCTAACTTCTAGCTTTTCAGGAAGTTTTTCTGTTTCTTCATCGCATAAATACTAATTTGTGACACCTAATGTTCAATGTACTTTTTTTAATACTTCATTTTTAGCAAGGATTTTAAAAATTAATAACAAGGACCGTGGTTATCCAATATCCTATATATTAAAGGCGGTTACAACGGTACACCTTTCATGCGTACTCGATGTTGAGGAAGCTTATTAAACAATAATGTTACATACCAACATCGGCCACCAGACTTCCAGTTTTTCCATCGCATAAATACTAATTTATGACACGTTATGTTCAATGTACTTTTTTCAATACTTTATTTTAAACTAGGATTTTAAAAATTAATTTCAAGGACCGTAGTTATCCAATATCCTATATATTAAAGGCGGTTACAACGGAACACCTTTCATACGTACTCGATGTTAAAGAAGCTTATTAAACAATAATGTTACATACCAACATCTGCCACCAGACTTCCAGGCTCGAGATCAAGTAGAAATTGTTTGACCCTAGGCCATGGTCTGTAGCGTGTGTCCGTAAAGTGGGAGGCAATCTGGTCATAGACATCGTGGACATACGCCTTTTCGAGTGCCAGGGATCGAGCCTGCCTCTCTTCTTGATTGTCCCCCGACATGGCGACCTCCTGCTCACGTCATACCTATTCTATAAACAACAAGATTCACTATGTTTACAAGAACATCAGTTGAGGAACTTATTTGAATTGTGGGCTACCAACTTCACTTTCGAAAACAAAGTAGTTAACCTCAATTATGTCACTCATGGACTGCTATTGTGGCACAACTAAAAAAACACGCGTTTTGCACTAAGAACATGTGTAAGTATGAAAATACACATTCCTTCAGCAGAAATACTAGCACAACTCATAATTCAACTTGAATGTAATCTTCGTTTAAGCAAACTAAAGCATTTTCCTTAGCAATGAAAACTTAAAACCCACTTATCTCATAACTTGATTTTTTGAGTTGTGCCGCTATTGCAAGCCCATGAGCTATGTATTCTTATTAGTTTAATTATTAAAAAAGTGAATAACTATTTCGAAAACTAGTAATCCCTACCAATAATACACTAATTAAAGATAAATCAGATATTTTACTGGTATACAAAATTTTTTAGAGTATTGATCTAAATTTAATATATTTTGTTTTTTACAAAAACAAAACTATATATTGTATACCATTAGGCAGTCCATTTAAAGTATAGTTTCAAGATTATTGGTAAAGAAATTAGCCCTTTAGTTCAGTTGATTTTTCTAATACTTTCGTTTTAAAAAAACATTGTAAATGGATAATTTCAGAACACAATATATTAACTACCTATTTACAGAAGTTGGACAAAAACGTGGAAATATTTCTATACTAATTCTTTTTATGTAATCTTTCGTTTAGCAGAAGAAGAAAAATATTTTGGAAGATTTTACGTGATAAAACTATTGACACAATTTGAAAGTCGTGTTCAGAGGCTTTCAGAAATGGTGTCTTTTTTTACCCATGCAAAATTCGAATCGACAAAATGAGAAGAACAGTGACTAACTTATTTCAAGCTTTAATACCAGCAAACTTGAAATCATTATATAGGATTGCGATATTTATATGGGAATGCTTTTAATGAAGAATAAAACGGAGAGAAATTAAAGACATATGAAAAAAAGGGGGGAAAGTTAATGTATAATAGTTAATGTATAATGTAAAGGGGAATAAGTAATAAGTAAAAAAATAACAAACATCAGTTAAAAAAAAAAGATAAAACTTTATTTAAAAACCAGAAAAAAAGATATAATCTTTTCATAAGCCCACACGATTATATCCGCAAATACTCTGTTTTACGGATATAATCGTGTGGGCTGATAAAAAGATTATATCTTTTTTTCCGGCTTTTTTTCCCGGTTTTTAAGTAAAATTTTATCCCCCTTTTTTTTTTAAACTGTTGTTTGTTATTTTTTTACTTATTACTTATTATTTCCCCCTTTTTTCATATGTCTTTAATTTCTCTTTGTTTTATTCTTCATTTTGAACTTATCTAATGGGTTCTGTTTACTTGCAGCTTAAGCGCAATAAATGAAACTTATTGTTTTTCTTAACTTTCTNATGCATTAAATTACCGGATGATTTCTGCACAATCATTGATTCACCAGATGCTCTCATTAACCTAATATTTCCCGATGTACACACACAATACATTCATCATCAGTGGCTGGTAGAAAGGTGATTTTAGCAAAAAATGTGTACGTCAACGAATTGAATCTGAAGATACAACAGTTATTGCCAGGTAAGTTGGTGACATATAAATCCGTAGCTTCCACCGCTAAGCCAATCCTGTGCGGCTTATAATAACAGAACTACATCATTGTTATCATTGTTGTATTCAGCTTGAGTAATTCAGTCGTAAGCCATAATACGTTATCAAAAGGTTTATTTAAAGGTAGGTTGGTGGTTATAACAGTTCACATCCCCACTCCACAAGGACAAAGCTCCGGATGGTTCCGGCTGATGCTTTAGTGAACACGTTAATCAGCAAGAGACAGGCGAAAACCATCGGTCTCGCATGAAATACTAACAGAGAATGATGTAATTAGGTCCCAGTCGTACATACTTTATAACTTTACGCATTATGGAAAATCATTTAATGCTTCCTAATATGGAAGTGAAAGAGGGACAAGATTCTAAAAATAACTCCTCCTTTGAAATATAAATCTAATTATAATTCAATGGTATGTTTTCAGCCTTGAAGTCCCAAATAAGAATTTCTACACCTATTCTTTACCAAAGACATTTAATGAAAACAAAAGAGTTTTAATGTAATGTTGTGATTAATACAAAAGTATTTAGAATTTTTGTATTATATATATATACCCCATAAAAACTAAAAACCTCTGTCTCCCTTATTATCCGAATTACTAAGGATATCTTATATTTAATTAGTTTTCTAGTAAGTCGAAACTAGAAGCAGGAGGATCAAATATTCTTAAAAGGCCCTAAGGATATACCGGTGTATTGATTCTTCCCATTTTTCCCTTTCCCCAGTAATAAATCCTTCTGCAAGTTTATTGATGTGGTTCTCAAGCTGAAATAGCTGCATGTTACGTCTCAATCAATGTGAGTGATATATCAGCTATAAAGCAAATATATATAATATATACCCATTAGTAATCAGAAGTAGAATTATTTTTTTGAGAGGCAGAGACCAACTCTTTTTTTTTATTTCCTTGAGTCGCATACTGAGAAAAGATTTAGGGTAACTGCATATTAATATGTTATATGGGGTCACCACTCTTAATATATGAAGAGCTTAGTGGAAGAACCTGGTCACTGACATTTTAAATAAAATTCTGATTTTTTGGGAAAAGTTCTTATTTTCGTGTTAATACATTGTTCACATACATACATAAAAAGTAATACATACATAGCAGACATGTAATACATACATAAAAAGTTCTTATTTACATTGCTAAATCTATTTTTCCGAAAATACTCAGTGGAAGAACAAGGTTAGTAAGTTGGCAACAAATAGCCACCAAACAACCCTAGAAAATCACTCACTAGGAATCAAACGCTAAAATGCCTGGAGTTAAAATACTTTGGATATATATATATATATATATATATATATATATACAGTCAAACCCTGTTATAGTGAACGTGGTTTAAAGTGAACTCCCGGATATAATGAACGAAATGTTCGCTCCCGCTACATAATATATATATATTTGCCAACAATTTAAAAATGTAAAATTAATATCTTGTGGAAAAATTGGCAGCTATTCAGCCTAAGGCAGAGTTTTTTTCAAAGTGTGGTACGCGTACCTCCAGGGGTACGGGAACAGTTTAGCGGAGGTGCGCGTTCTAATGCGAAATATCTTGCTACAAAGGAAAATTTCAAAAAAATTTATTTAAAAATAAAGCTAGCCATGAAAATTTACGATTATGTATTTTTCTATTGGCTATTTTTCGCAGAGTTAACAGTTAATTATTAGTGGTATCAACAGCCAGTTGTAATTTTTAACTTTTGTGCAATTTTTTTATAGTAAAAAATACATTCATTTTTTTATTAGTGGTACGAAAAATTTAGAAAGGGTACACAAAAGTCATAAGTTTGGAAAACACTGGCCTAAGGCATAGAATAAATTGAGTCTGCAGATTGAAAAGCAATTAATCATACTAGAACGTTATTTCCCAGAAGAAGTGGTCCATGTCAAAGCTTGTTTTATCTGCATTAACCCCTTGGGGACGGGTGATTCATAAAAGCATTTGCACAAAATCAGACTCAGGATGTAATTAAATAAAAAACGATAACTAAAATGTAGTCGTTGCTAATTTTACAGACTTACTTTGCTTTTACTTTAATTATTGTTAGGTTAATCATATATATAATCAATGTTAGCTCAAAGTATAACTAAACAATTTTATTTCGAACTAAAGTAATGGTGAATTAAATAAATCAAACAATTAACCGTTCACAACAAAACCGTTCACAAAAAAATTGCTAAAGAACTACTTTGGTTACCGGTTTTATCTTTTAACCCTGATTGATACGGTTTAATGCTGGCACGTATTTGTGACAGTTGGCGCGAAAGGGTTAAAGCATGAATAAATGTAAATTCAGGCACATCAAGAGTAAATCATGAAATTTCAAACACAGATTTTTTTTCTTTCAAAATGCTAATAAATTATAACAGGATTACGTGCTAGGGAAGTGAACCTGTCATAATTTCTTCGCATTTTAATATTTTGAAGGAAAAAAATCAACGTCTAAGACTTCATAGTTTACTTTAAGTTTACATGCTTTTTTTTTTCAAAACTTTAAATTTTTAAATGCCAAAGGAGGTGAAACAGAATTTGTCATGAAAAGTTTCTCCTCGTTATAGTGTCCTCTAAATAAGAATAGCAAAATGCTAAGCTGCTAATAACGGAAAAACAAAAAATGTACGCTACTTTTAATTTATTTCCATGGTATTGTAATGCAATGACATTCGTTTCATTGCAATTACAATTTACAAACAACCGTTTTGCAATAGAAAATAAAAATTAAATTAAATAAATAAATAAAGCACAAGTTGTATTAAAATATAAACTTACTCGAGCTTAAGTATTTAAACGAAAGTTTAGATTTTGTCACATGGAAAATATTTATGTCTATTCTTATTGCTTGTTTCATGTTAGCAGGGTTATAAACACGTGTATATGAGCTAATATTCTCGAATATCACATGAACGACGCATGTTATGAGTCATGGCCAACAAGAGAGAAAAATACATAAATAAAAGAAAAAGGTAACTAGAGCTGCCAAAACGTGATAAAACCAAATGAACAATACCCAGATTCTAATTGACTATTCACCTAAGCATAGAGCTCAACTAAATCCCCGTTTGAAACATAATTAAATTCGCAAAGGACTGCACATTTAGAAGACTACACGAAGTCTGAGTAAATAATTTTAAATGGAACCAATGCATTATCTATATAAATCTAAATCTAATGAGGGTGTTGCAGTTTTCCATTGTCGTTGGCGCATTTTTATTGCCCAGAAAATTACATGGTTGGGTTCAGTTTTCTCACATTAATTTTCATATTGGTTTGGTTAAAATATCAGCATAAAATTATACATAATTATATTATTATATTAGTAGTATTGGTCAGCATAAAATTCATGTCATAAGGTTATTATTTTCCTATAAATATTTCTGTATCCCTAATTTAAAGGTATTACCTGTACTGTTATTATTACGTTTTTTATTTTGTTTGTTTTCAAAGAGAATTGCTTTTTATTATTATTATCATAACGCAATTCTACGTTACATTTTAAGATAAAGTTACTTAAATCAGTCTCCATAATCTCATTAACCGTTTAACAATTATTATTTTTTGGGAAAATTACATTATACCATTATGAATCACAGTTAAGGAGATTCGTTAAATGATTTAGAACATAACTTTCAGCTTCACGCACAAAGTGATGAAAGCAAAAATTGTATTTAAAACACATCCGTCCGTTTGGTAAGAAAAAATATTAAATTATAGTTGAGAACTAACCAAATTTGTTATTAGGTGTAGTTAAATATTGGGCGTGAAGATTCACATTTTGATAATACAAAAAAATATTTTTTAATTAAAAATTGTGAATTTGATTTTAATTCATAAAGCATACAACATAGGGCTAACATCACATCGAATAAAAAGCCTCCGAGGTTGTTGCAAACACATACGTTCTTTTGTCGACATTTTCATAAATGTTTCTGAATTTCGTTGATACAGCGCTCAATTATCTCCTTNAAATAAAAGAAAAAGGTAACTAGAGCTGCCAAAACGTGATAAAACCAAATGAACAATACCCAGATTCTAATTGACTATTCACCTAAGCATAGAGCTCAACTAAATCCCCGTTTGAAACATAATTAAATTCGCAAAGGACTGCACATTTAGAAGACTACACGAAGTCTGAGTAAATAATTTTAAATGGAACCAATGCATTATCTATATAAATCTAAATCTAATGAGGGTGTTGCAGTTTTCCATTGTCGTTGGCGCATTTTTATTGCCCAGAAAATTACATGGTTGGGTTCAGTTTTCTCACATTAATTTTCATATTGGTTTGGTTAAAATATCAGCATAAAATTATATATAATTATATTAGTAGTATTGGTCAGCATAAAGTTCATGTCATAAGGGTATTATTTATTTTCCTGTAAATATTTTTGTATTCCTAATTTAAAGGTATTATCTGTACTGTTATTATTAAGTTTTTTATTTGTTTGTTTTCAAAATTAAGAGTTTAAGAGAATTGATTTTTATTATTATTATCATCATAACGCAATTCTGCGTTACATTTTAAGATAAAGTTATTTAAATCAGTGTATAATCTGATTAACCGTTTAACAATTATTATTTTTTGGGCAAATTACATTAATATACCATTATGAATCACAGTTAAGGAGATATTAAGCAAAAATATTAAATTATAGTTGATAACTAACCAAATTTGTTATTAGGTGTAGTTAAATATTGGGCGTGAACACCAGGATATCCCGAAATTCACACAAGATTCACATTTTGGTAAAAAAAACTCATATTTTTTAATTAAAAATTGTGAATTTGATTTTAATTCATAAAGCATACTACAAAGGGCTAAGGCTTTTTTACCCTAAAGCCTTAACTGTTCTGTTGTATTTTCGTTTCGTTAACAACATTCTATAGTTCAAGGCAAAATCAAACTGAACTAATTAAAAATTTCACAAAATTATTTTTTATTCACCATTTTCAGAAACGTAAGCATCCTTTCCATTGCATTCAGTACTAGCTCTCTTTTTTCTGCGAAAGGTGTACGTGTAAACATGAGTTCGAGATTTGGTAAACATCAAATTTCTCAGTTAATGCTAGTATTTGGATGTCAACATTAAATTCCACCTGGGTGAATGTCGACATTCAATTGCCACTTGGGTAAACGTCCGAATTTTTGTTGTAACCCATTAATTAATATAATTTTTTCGCGCCTGCATTGGAAATTTCGACATATAGCATTGCATGTTTAATATAAAAGTTAGGTTACATTATTTTCCTTTTAATAAGCATTGCATCAGTGTATTCTGAACTTGCTGGTATAAGTGAAAATTATGATATTTAACAAAATTAATTTACTCAACATTCACAATATGCATGATGAATGCCTATATTTGATGATATAAAGTAGAAATAATGAATCTAAATGAATATTTTCGAACGTTTACCAAAACAATTATGCGAATGTCGTTCACCGAGTATGTGAATATCAACATTCACCAAAACAACAAAGCGAATACAGACATTCACCAAATCGACAATGTGAGAATCTATATTCACTGATTATGATTTTCATAGTAAACATCGGCAATAGTTACAAAATTGAACGATTGTAGTTTTGAATGTATTGAATTACATTCAAATAAAAGTTGAAATTTATAAACACAATGAGTGTATATTGAAAGGTAGCACTAACCTGTCAGATATAATAAGCCCTCTATTCTTAGTATACCCTTGAGAGAAGGAAAAGCTTGTTATTGAAGTAAGAGGAATTAGTTTTGGAAGATAAATATCTATGTATTCATTCTTTATACGCTAAAAAAAATATTTCATGAAAAAGTCGTTGTGTTTTTAAAGATTTGTCTAGACTTAGGTAGACAGTAAATGAAGAAAGACAGCTTAAAAAACATTTTGTCTAAAATAAAAAAGCGTAACGCAAATAAAAGGATTATTTTAGCTAGTCTGTCAAGTCTAATACGTGTCACGTGTCAAAGCACTCTATATTTTTTTAAAAGTTTAAATCTTATAAAAAAGCGTAAAATAAGTTGAATCTACATCAGGCATTATTAATTTCTTTTTCTTTTGAAAAGACCTAACTTATACTTATGCTATAAAATTGAATTTGTAAGAATTATAGAATAGAATATTCAATTTAAGGGGGGACAACACAGTAAAATTTAAAAGAAAAATTAGAAAAAAATGTATTGCGTTTTTTGTCAGTTAATACTTTTATGATTATTGTATCAAAATATTGAATTGATTTATGGGAAAAGGGTATAAGTTACAACTGGCCGCATTGTTGCATGTATGATCCCGTTGACATTTTGTCGGCTTAGTTGATAAATGGATTTTCTCACTCCCATCAAAACATTTAAGTTAAGTACTATCATTTTAACTATTTTATTGGAATAATTTGTCTAAGTTATGTAAAAAAAATAATTAACAGTACCTTCAATGTACGATAAATAGTTAAAATTGCAACTTATTTAGCTGTAAAATTTTTAAAAAAAGGTTGCAAGGAGTTATTGACAGTTACTGTATTACTAGGATTAGGAAAATTAAGACATTAATTAGTAATAAGTAGCCAAAAAATACGTCCAGTAGCCAAAAAATAAGCTCAAAATAAAGATGACCGCAGAATTTTGGCTGGTACTCTAAAAAAATATGAGGCGTCGCATGACGGTAAATTGACTAGAAAAAAGGCTAGACTTGTACTTGACTGCTGAAAAAGATGGAGAAAAAATATCTTATGGAGCGTAGCATGAGGGTAAATAGGCAAGAAAAAAGGCTAGACTTGTACTTGACTGCTGAAAAAGATGGAGAAGAAGCATCTTACAGACCGTCGCATGAGGGTAAATAGACAAGAAAAAAGGCTAGATTTGTACTTGACTACTGAAAAAGATGGAGAAGAAGCATCTTATGGAGCGTCGCATGAGGGTAAATAGGCAAGAAAAAAGGCTAGACTTGTACTTGACTGCTGAAAAAGATGGAGAAGAAGCATCCTATGGAGCGTCGCATGAGGGTAAATAGGCAAGAAAAAAAGCTATACTTGTACTTGACTGCTGAAAATGATGGAGAAGAAGCATCTTATGGAGCGTCGCATGAGGGTAAATAGACAAGAAAAAAGGCTAGATTTGTACTTGACTACTGAAAAAGATGGAGAAGAAGCATCGTACAGAGCGTCGCATGAGGGTAAATAGACAAGAAAAAAAAAGGCTAGACTTGTACTTGACTGCTGAAAAAGATGGAGAAGAAGCATCTTATAGAGCGTCGCATGAGGGTAAATAGACAAGAAAAAAGGGTAGACTTGTACTTGACTGCTGAAAAAGATGGAGAAGAAGCATGTTATGGAGCGTCGCATGAGGGTAAATAGACAAGAAAAAAGGCTAGACTTGTACTTGACTGCTGAAAAGATGGAGAAGAAGCATCTTATGGAGCATCGCATGAGGGTAAATAGACAAGAAAAAAGGCTAGATTTGTACTTGACTACTGAAAAAGATGGAGAAGAAGCATCTTACAGAGCGTCGCATGAGGGTAAATAGACAAAAAAAAAAAGGCTAGACTTGTACTTGACTGCTGAAAAAGATGGAGAAGAAGCATCTTATGGAGCGTCGCATGAGGGTAAATAGACAAGAAAGAAAAAAAGAAGAAAAAAAAAGCTAGACTCTGTAGCGTTGAGGTACACAGCCGAGGTTATTTTGCAATTACTGCGCAGTTCAGAATCTTCGTACGTGAACGTGTGTTTTGCTATGGAAAAGTGTAAAATAGAGAGATTTTGCACTTCAAGAAGTATAATGTGCGCTCCCGTACCTAGGCTTTGTGCAACCTCTGTAGAGGATCGAGGTTGTTTCGTGCTAACCTCTCCACTGCTTTATGTAACTTGTACTTGCGTGAAAGGTCAGGAGGCTCCCTGAAAATCTAAATGTCTTATTCTTTCACGTTTACGCTAACTTAGAACTTTTTATGTATAGTTCGTTCACCAGGAGTTGAGACTTGGCTCCACCTCCTCGGACGCAGAGTTCATTTCAGCGCGGGGGAGTAAGAGGAAAAACATATCCGTTGTTGAAATTGAGACAACCCATAATTTGCGCCAAACACAGAAAGTGAATTCTTTTTCACTTACTTTGCTTTATCATCTGCTAATATACCTTTTGTTACACTAGCTAATTAAATATAGTTTAAATTTAAAAACTGTTGTTCTCCCAGCGAAATGTCTCATAAAGGACAAACTATTCACTCAAAAGAAAGAAATATAAAAAAAAAATAGTGTAAAATATCATCAAATTTATGAAATATTCATTGTTAAAAAAATGCACATAAAGTTTGCGAAATAAATATTTTTGCCAAACGATTGCCAAATAGCACCATTGTTCAGGATTGCTCACAACCTTCTCCCAAAAATAGCGAAATAGTATCGTCGTATACCACGTGATGAAGGCGGAGCCAA